CTGAACCAGGACTAAACCAGGTCTAAACCAGAACTAAACCAGGACTAAACCAGGTCTAAACCAGGACTAAACCAGGTCTAAACCAGGACTAAACCAGAACTGAACCAGGACTAAACCAGGACTAAACCAGACTGAACCAGGACTAAAACCAGGTCTAAACCAGGTCTAAACAGACTGAACCAGGACTAAACCAGGACTAAACCAGGACTAAACCAGAACTGAACCAGGACTAAACCAGGTCTAAACCAGAACTGAACCAGGACTAATCCAGGTCTAAACCAGGTCTAAACCAGGTCTAAACCAGGACTGTGTTTGAGTCTATTTGGAGAAAAACACATTTAGAAAAGATCTTCTGTCTGTAAAACCACATGATGTTTTGAGGTTGTTTTTTGTTTTGTTTTGTTTTTTTTAATGCCACAACAGGGAATTAATTAAAGTCAGTTGTGTTTTCACGTTTTTATGAGAACATTTTACTTCTTCCAGATCTTTTAAAAGGAAAAAGAAGATTGAGCTCAGATGTTGTTCGATTTCTGAATGAATCCTCCTCTGCGTGTGTCACTTAAATATAGTAAAGTTTCGTCACAGGATTTTCTCTGGTAAATAAAAAAAAACGGTGATTCAGATTGGTGTTTTTTTTTTTGTGGCTGACGGATCCTCGCGCTTCCTCGTGCGTTTGGAGTTTACCGTGTTCCTCTTTTTCTGGAGAAACGTGGAGGCGTTTCCGTTTCTCTGTGATTCAAGCCGTGACTGACAGATGTGTTAGATTTAAGCGTCTGAACAATAAATCTGAAGCTCGTGTGACGTTTGCGTTTGTGTCGCTGATCACGTCGGTCATGCACAGTCATGGCCAGAACACGCAGCTGCTGTGACGCAGAGACAGTGTGCAGATCGTACGGATGATAATATCCAGTGTAGGGAGTAAGGTGTTAAAAAAGAAATAAATGATTGTAACGTGTTGCTTTTTGCTGTAACGCAGTAATGTGACGTTACAGGGAAAAAATGTTAATATTTTACTCGGTACAACTGTGAGTAACGCGCATCACAATACTTTTTTAACCTGGATTGAAACGGTGGCTAAAAGGACTGCGATATCAACAGCGATGAAACGCCGGAGACTCGCCCGCGTAGACCGTCAGGTGACCGCGAGCGAAAAGACCAGCGCAGAACTCCACGCTCCACGAGGCGAAACGCAGCTGACGCACGATTGAGCTTCACAGATCCATGGACTCAGGGTTCTCTCAGGGGCGGAACTAGATTCCAAGTTCTAGTCCAAGATTAGTCAGTGAGTGTGTTTACATGCACATCAATAACCCGGTTATGATCGGCTTTTTTGAGTATCCCGGTTTCTTCATGGTGCATGTAGACGCAGTAACCCGGTTTCAGTATCCCGGTTATTAGAAACCAGGTTACTGTAGCTGGTTTATTCCGATAGTAACCGGGACACTTGTGGCATGTATACACAGTACCCCGGTTACTGCAACATAAAGTTGAGTCGCATGCGTCCAAAAGACACTTTCCAGCCTCTCACCACAACAGTAGCGACATAAATAAATTGACCAACATAAATAAAGTGACCAAACAAGTGAAATGACCTGCACATGTACAATCTGCACTCGTGTGACGCTGAAAACTAAAACATGAACTATCACCTGTACAACTACTGCTAATTTTCATCTTCTCTCTCTTTCTCCATCTGTTCCTCTTCCCTCTTTCCTTGTCTCTCTCTCTCTCTCCTGTTTACCGTTTTCACTCTTCATCCTCACTTCTTACTCTCCTCTCTTTCTCTCTCCTCTCCACTCTTTTCTCTTCTCTTCTTTTTTCTCTTCTCTCCTCTCTTCTCTCTCTCCCTCTCTTCTCTCCTCTCTCCTCTCTCTGTTCTCTCTCTCCCTCTCTTCTCTTCTCTCTTCTCTTCTCTCTCTCCTGTCTTCTCTCCTCTCCTCTCTCTCTTCTCTTCTCTCTCCTCTCTTCTGTCTCTCCTCTCCTCTCCTCTCTTCTCTTCTCTCTCTCCTCTTCTCTCTCCTCTCTCTCCTCTCCACTCTTTTCTCTTCTCTTCTTTTTTCTCTTCTCTCCTCTCTTCTCTCTCTCCCTCTCTTCTCTTCTCTCTTCTCTCTCTCTCTCTCTCTCCTCTCTCTTCTCTCTCCTCTCTTCTGTCTCTCCTCTCCTCTCTCTCCTCTCTCCTCTTCTCTCTCCTCTCCACTCTTTTCTCTTCTCTTCTTTTTTCTCTCCTCTCCTCTCCTCTTTCTCTTCTCTCTCTTCTCTTCTCTCTTCTCTCCTCTTTCTCCTCTCTCCTCTCTTCTTTCTCATACTCTCTCCTTCTTCCCTCTCCTTCTCTCCAATCTCTCCTTCTCTCTCCCCCTCCCCTCTCTCTTTCTCCCTTCCTCCCTCTATCCCCTCATCCCCCTGTCTCTCTCTCTCTCTCTCTTGCTCTCCCTTCCTTCCTTTCCTCCCTCTCTCCACCTGCATCTCCTTCCCCTTCTCTCTCTCTCTCCTCTCTCTCTCTCTCTCTTTCTCTCTTTTCTTTCTTTCTTTCTTTCTGTTTCTTGTACATTCCTGTCGGTTCTGCTCTGATTCCTCGGAGCTTTTAGTCCGATCATGAACGACTCACAGTCTCACATTCCAACAACAAACCCCCACTGAGCCAGATGCCCTCCCGTCCTCCTGGACCCTCTACTGTGTAACTGAGGTCCTGGTTTAGTCCTGGTTTCGGTCTTGTTTAGTCCTGGTTTAGACCTGGTTTAGACCTGGTTTAGTTCTGGTTTAGTCCTTGTTCAGTCCTGGTTCAGACCTGGTTTAGTCCTGATTTAGTTCTTGTTTATTCCTGGTTTAGTCCTGGTTTAGTTTTGGTTTAGTCCTGGTTTAGTTCTGTTTTAGACCTGGTTTAGTCCTGGTTTAGTTCTGGTTTAAACCTGGTTTAGTCCTGGTTCAGTCCTGATTTTAGTCCTGGTTTAGTCCTGGTTTAGACCTAGTTTAGTCCTGGTTTAGTTTTGGTTTAGTCCTGGTTTAGTCCTAGTTTAGTCCTGGTTTAGTTTTGGTTTAGTTCTAGTTTAGTCCTGGTTTAGTCCAGATTTAGTCCTGGTTTAGACCTTGTTTAGTCCTGGTTTAGTCCTGGTTTAGATCTGGTTTAGTCCTAGTCTCACCCTGGTTTACAACTGGTGTTAAGTCTGCTCCAGTCTTAGTTTAGTCCTGATTTAGTTCTGGTTTAATCCCATCTTGTCCTAGTTCGTCTGTGTTTTTCTGTGTTATTTGCTCCAAAACGGAGCCTGTACTTTAGTCCTGACGTGGACTTGTTTTGGTCCTGGTTTAGTCCTGGTTTAGTCCTCAATTTTACTGCCTTATTTCCTTATTTATTTCTACTTCAAAACTGGAACAAAGCCAGAAACTAAATGTGGACTAAACCAGGACTAAACCAGGACCAAACCAGGTCTAAACCAGAACTAGAACCAGACCAAACCGAGTCTCCACCGGGACTTAAACTGGACTCAAATCAAATCATGACCAGTGTGAACACATCCTCAGATTTAATTTTCATTTGTTTTTGAAATGATGTAAAACTTCCCAAAAAAGTCACACCCTCCATAAAATCTGACGCCTCTCCTCCTCCTCCTCATCATCACTCCATCTCTCTCTACTTCACACTCCCTCTCTCTCTCTCTCTCTCTCTCTCTCTTCTCCCTCTCTCTTTCTCTCTCCTTTACACTCCCTCTCTCTTTCTCTCTCTCTTGCTGCCTCCTGTCTCTCTCTCTTTCTCTCTCTTTCCTTTGTCTCTCTCTTTCTTCCCTCTCTCCTAGAATCTACCCCTCCTCTCTCTCGTTCCTTCTCTCTCTCTCCCTCCTTCCTCTCTCTCTCTGCCTCTCCCTCTCTCTACCTTCTTCCCCCCTCTCTCTCTCCCTCTCCTCAAGTCTGCCTCCCCCCTCTCCCCCAGTGTCTCTCTCTCTCTTCCTTCCTCTTTTCTCTCTCTCCCCCTTGCTCTCCCTTTAACTGTCTCTCTCCTCCTCTCCCCCAGTGCCCCCGTCTCTCTCCCTCCTCCTCCTCCTTTCTCTCTCTCTCTCTTACCCCCCCCCTCTCCCCAGTGTCTCTCTCTCTTCCTTCCTCCTTTCTCTCTCTTCTCTCCCCTAGAGTCTTTCTCTCTTTCCCTCCCTCCTCCCTTTTCTCTCTCTCCTCTCTTCAGTGTCTTTCTCTC